CCATTCACTTATAACTATTCTTAACATTAGAAATACTCCATGGAGGGCTTCAGTCCTTGGGTCAGAAAGAGTTGGACGTGACTGAGGTGACTCAGCATGCACACACCTGAAATTTTTAATCAGCTCATCCAAAAATACTGATTAATTAGCAATCTGTTAGCCATGACATCTTCAAAATCCTTTGAATTTTCTGAGGTACAAAAGATAATGTATTAATATCTCCTTATGGAATTCAAGTTCTGAAAGATGCAAGCAGAACTCTGACTTTATCCTCCATGCCTCTGGAACTGAAAGTGACTATATAAACTAGCAAGCCTTCAAGAGATCTGTTCCTGATAACATCTCAGTGAACTATATCTCATCAAGGCTTTACCCTCCTCCCATCTAGCTTTTTGGGGAAGAAGTAAGGTTTTGATTATTTCTCCTTAAGTTGCTCTCCTTAAGTTGTTGGGAAGTCACCAACATCTTATTCCCAGAAAATGGATAAAATAGATCCAGCTCTTGGTATTTTTTTTCTAAATAAATTGAATTGTGGCTTTATTTGATTTACAAAAAATTTTTAAGAAAAAAAAAAGACAAATATACTGTAACTACAAAACTAGTTTCTCTTTTTGAAAGATCAGAGGCAAATAACCTCACAATAACCCTGAACATTCCTTTGATGATACATTCCCCAGGAAAATGTTTTTAAAGTAAATAATTGTATATGTATTTGGTTAGCACAAAAGCTGGTTGTCTTTACAGACAACGTTCTTGATGTGGTTGGGAACTGGAACCAGTCTGGAAGGCAACTGGACATTTTATGGCTGAGATATCTTCTCCTCTGCTTTCTACTTTCAGAAATGGAATACGTCGTGATAGAGAGAAGAGCCAGAGGCCTGAAATTCAACCAGAAATAAATATTCTAAACTACAGGTGGCCCACACCCTTCCGAATGGCAGTCCTTCAGATGCGTGGTGCATTTCTCTCCCTGGTTCCTTCCTCCACTCAGCTTCCTCTGCAAGCAATCACAGCATGCAAGTAAGAAAATGTTGCACAACATTTCTGAAGATGTTGGTGGAAAAACAGGTGGTGCCTGTCTACAACAGTACTTGGGTATTGGCAGAACCTGCAAACTCACCTTGGGCTGCTGGTGGCTTTTCTGTTTTATTTTCGTTCAAAATTATTTCTTTCCAAACAAGGCAGAAAGAGATGAAAGAAAAGGCTATCCCCATGATGCAGCGTTACAATGTTATATGACCGTTGGAAGAAATATCTGAATTGCTCGTGGGGAAGTGGAAACTGCACTCAGTGACCCTGAGGGCTTTACAAGGCCAGAAAGTTCCACTCACTGTCCCACTCCAGCATGGAACAAGAACCCTGGATGACGTTCAACTTCTGCAAGAAGAGAGTCCGTTTCGGGGACTGCGTGGGCCAGGGCCTCATCTGGGTTTCAGTCCTGCTTCCCGGCTTGAAAGCATTCCAGGGCTTCTCTGTCTCGCAGTACTTCACTGAGCATAAGAGCGCTGGGGTCGGCCTTCCCGCGTAACTCACGCGCCCACCCCCCACGGCCCAGTCAGGCCCGTCTCTCCCCGTCTTCTCACGCTTCTCCTTTGCTGTTATTTCGTCACTAAGTCGTGTCTGACTCTTTGCAACCGCGTGGACGGTAGACCTCCGGGCTCCTATGTCCATGGGCTTCCCCAGGCAAGGATCCTGGAGGGGGTTACCATTTCCTTCTTCTGGGGATCTTCTTGACCCAGGAATCAAACCTGCATCTCCTGCATTGCCAGGTAGATTCTTCCCAGTGAGCCACCAAGGAAGCCCCCTCACCTTCCCTTACCTGGGTGTTTTAAGAAGAAAATTACACAGAATGTGGTCATCATCCATCCAGAGTACCCAGGGAATTATTTTAAAGCATGGCATGCAGCTGACTCTTCACCACATTGCATGTTCAAATTACTTGGATAACACAGGGTTGGGGAGGAAGGTTGCTCATCAACAGATGTGACACTTGCCTTGTGAGAGATGGATGAATTCCAGAGGTCACCGGAACAGCACCACTAGAGCTAATAATGCTTATGTTTTGGCACGTGGGTAGATCACATGCTGTGTTCTTACCACAATGAAACAAACAAACAAAAAAACTGCTTGGATAACACTAAAATAATGGCTTCCCAGGTGGCTCGGTGGTAAAGGATCTGCCTGCAATACAGGACACTCAGGTTGGATCCCTGGGTCAGGAAGATCCCCCGGAGGAGGAAATGGTAACCCTCTCCAATATTCCTGCCTGAAAAATTCCATGGACAGAGGAGCCTGGCAGGCTACAGTCCGTGGAATCACAAAGAGTCGGACATGACTACACATGCATGCTGATAAGATAACAATATAAAACAGTAACTAGATTCTTGTTTACTACTTTATCCTGGAAAGTGAACCAACTCTACATATATTTGCTCTATTTCTTCAATATGCCCTCTATTTGAAAGAGGGTTGTACAGAGTCTCAAAGAGCTTACTAAGTAACTGACCCAGCCAGATATATAATTTGCAAAGCCAGGCCTGGCCCCTCAGTCTGTCTGAGGCCAGAGCTCAAGTTGAAGCTGAAATTTAATGTAGAAACTCAAATCACCTTGATGTTCCCTGACTCTTTTTAGAGGCTAACAGCCTGTTTCGATTAGGACAAAGTATCAAATGTCGCGAGATAGAATTTCCATTTTACCCATGAAAAATCAAAGGATTTTTAAACTTAGGGTATTTCCCACCTTAATAGCATCTGATTTTGATTGCTCCTTCATTCCATCTTCACTTTGTTTAAATATACTCATCCCACACTGCAATGACATCTTATTAACTCAGACCTGGCTTGTTTGGAATCTATGATAATTTGACTGAGACAGGATGGGCTGTTACATTCACTTCTCCGTTATCTAAGAAGGAACTTTTGAAGAAAGTGAATTCTATTAACATGACTTCCTGGAGTTTAATCTACTTAAGAAAATATAGCAGTTCTCCAGAACCCAGCGGCTACAATTTGCATATAAATGATTCCTTTTCAAATATCTCTTATGAAGTGATCAAAGACAGCCCACAAAACTTGGCAGCCCTCAAACATTATTTCACGTTATCCTCCACGGTTCAAAGAACTCACAAAAATAAAAACTTAAGAACCCACCTTTCAAGATACAATGGCTTCCCAGGTGGCTTAGTGGTGAAGAATCCGCCTGCCAATGAAGGTGACACAGGTTCAATCCCTGGGTGGGGAAGATCCTCTAGAGGAGGAAATGGCAACCCACTCCAGTATTCTTGCCTGGAGAATCCCACGGACAGAGAAGTCTGGAGGGCTGCAGTCCACGGGGTCGAAAAGAGATGGCCACAACTGAGTATGTCGACACACACACCATAACATAAACTGTTCATTCCCTCAATAATTTTCAACTGCTGAGACTATTACAAATGCGCTTGCTTTACATGCTGTTTTTTAAGCCCTGTTTTGTGAATATCCTTGGGGTTGGGTGTGCCTGGAGCCCTTGAAGGAGCTGTACATTGTTCGAGGAGTTTTGTTTGTTTTTCTGTTTTAACCTGAGCTTTGGACCGAGATACAAAGATTCTAATCTCGGGGCGCTGCCTTTGAGACAGTTGGAGGTTGTGGAAATCATTTTGCCTCTGAACCTATTTCCAGTAAAAGATAAAATATCCAGCTTCCGTGTGAGAGTGAAAAGGTAAAGGATGTGAAACAAAGGCTAGCACCCGACGCCGTGCCGGGCGCAGAGGTGCCGCGTGACACGTGAGCATTTCCTCCTGCCTGTCCTTCCTTACACACCTGCCGCCCGCTCCAGGCACCTACGCGCAGGAAAGGCGTGTTTAAAAGTGGCCACGGAGACGAGTGAGAACAGCCGTGCCCACCTGGCCTCCCCCCAAATTACGTGCCCTTACCCCTCTCCCCACCCAGAACCAAGTCTCAAGAGTAGAATTCAGAAGGCTCAGAAGGGTCTTAGAGTTTTAGACAGAGAGCAAATCATAGGCTAAGACTGATATATAGAAACTGAAAATAACAATCAAAGCCTCGAAGAGTGCCTGTGAAAGGTGCCCCACTGTTCTAAAGCTCAGGCTCCGGGTATCACTGAAAAATGAGGAGAGCGAAAGTGAAAGTCACTCAGTCGTGTCCTCTCTTTGTGACCCCAAGGACTGTATAGTCCATGGAATCCTCCAGGCCAGAACACAGGAGTGGGTAGCCTTTCCCTTCTCCAGGGCATCTTCCCAACTCAGGGATCAAACCCAGGTCTCCTGCGTTGCGGAAACAAAGGCACTCCAGGAAAAGAAGGATTGCATTTGCTGGGTGGTGCTTTCCTCTGGATCCTGGTCTGGTTATGATGGGAACACCTAGTCAGCAACACCTTCTGAGTCAATAGATCCAAGGGCCACTCGGCCGGCAGCTGTTTTAGGCAAATACTTTCAGAATCTGGCAAGGGCTCCCAATGCCACTGTGCTCAGGATGTGTTTCACAGTCGCCAGAGTCAGAATGAAGCCTGTGGGTAAAGACATAAGCTTGCAGCTGTACCTATGCTCTGCACTGGGGGAAGAGCTGATCGTGACACCCTTTGGGACCTAATGGGAACAGCATCTTCTCCTGTCAGTTTGCACAGAAATACCAGGCTGAGGCGGACACACCGCCCTCTCCCTGGGGCAACTCCAGCCAGTAGGCAGGAGAGAGGGGTGGCACCCCAGCAATTGTATGCAGACAGGGTTTCACTCCCAGGAGCCCTTGCAGTTACCATGGAAACACTGTGGTAAGAAGCATCATCACCTTCATCACTTCCCTTCCTCACTATCATCATGTCATCGATCTACAGGAAGGATGCTGAGGAGTCGGAGACAGTGAATGATTGACCCAGACCCCGGAAGCCACAGGCTCATTCCACACGAGCCACTGTGCAAACACCCCCAGTTCAGAGAAGGCAGCTTTGGCATCGGAACCCACTTCTGTCGGCTATCTATGTGTCTCTAAGTACATTCAACCCTCTCTCACGCCATCATTTCTTCCTGAAAAGTAAGAGGGCTGAGTGAGGCGATACACGCGTGAGAGGTGGGGCTGTGTTTGCTACAAGGTTGGACACCCAGGGAAGATCCTTTCCGCTTAGGCTTCCTCCCACCCGCTGGCTCTTCTCTTCCCACTGACAGGAGAATCCGCAGAGAAGCGAGCACTGACGGCACCCCGTGGTATTGCTGCCAGCTCTGGAAGCTGGGCGGACCAGTCTCCCTCCTTAAAACACTCCAGGAAAGAGAGAGGCCGCCCAAGCAGCTCTGACGTTCCTGCCTCTCGCTGTCCTGCTGAACTCCGCCACTGAAGCACAGCCGGCTGGCCAGCGCCATCTGAGACGGCTTTCTCATCTCTGATCCAGTACAAACACAGGAACTAAATTCTATTTCCAACCAATCAATCCAGGTCCTCTGAGAAGGAAAAGCGTTTTCCTGGACTGACAGATGAACTCCAATCAGAAGAGGACGGTTTACATTCGCAGGTGGACCAAGGAATTCACAACCCACAGGACGGGAGCAAAAGTGCCCTCCCCCGACACTGCTCTCAAGGCAGGAAAGGAACACCAGTGCGAGGCTCTTTGAGCGATCCGAAGACGCCTTTCGTGGAGGCCTGAGTACCTACGGGAACCTTGAAACAGAAGTATCAGGATCTCCAGAAACATAATTCATTAAATCCAGTTTTATCTGTAAAAAGCCCTTTCTGGAGGTCTGCCATAAAGTCAACAAATTCACGTCACTGGGGAACTATTAATCTAACAAAATATCAGCAATACAGAATGAATTGGGAAAGATATTTGGCGGAAAATAGAAATATCTCCAGACTAATGTGTGCGGTTGCGGGGGCAGGGAGGGAAGGAAGATTCCCTTGGAATCTTTATTAGCACAAATTTCTGCACATGTAGGATTTTTCATCTTGGCCATCCACAGAGGAACGCAATCAGTAGGACCATGAGTGCCAAAAGGATACACTGCTTAGCTCTTTGTGTGTGTGTGAAAACCAAAGTGTTACATGATGATTGCAGTAAAATCTGGAAGTATAAATGTCAAAACAAAAACAACATAAAACCAACCTGTAGCTCTATTAACATAGAGATAACAACTAGTGCCATCTTGGCACGTATCTTTCCAGATAGCTTTACATGCATAAATAGTTGGGTGTGCTGTTTACTGCTCTGCGTGTGTGCTAAGTCACTTCAGTTGTGTCTGACTCTTTGTGACGCCTGGTGGTAGCCCACCAGGATCCTTGGTCCTTGGGATTCTCCAGGCAAGAATGCTGGGGTGGGTGTGCATGCCCTCCCCAGGGATCTTCCTCGCCCAGGGATCAAACCCACCTCTCTTGCAGCTCCTGCATTGGCAGGCGGGTTCTTTACCACTAGTACCACCTGGGAAGCCCTGTTTATTGCTGTAGGTCACTATATTTGTTTTACAAAAATGGAATCATAACATATCAACTTCTTTTAGAAATTTTGAGTAAATGAAAATGTTTTATTAATAAATCATCTATTTCTCCAATGCTTAAATCATCTAGAAACTCTCATATCTCTTTCCCCTGATATTTCTGATGCACATTTATACATTAAATAGAATTTTTTTTATAAACATCACAGGTGTGCAGAAGATATTCTGCCACCTGATTTTCTCATTAGCCCTGAACAGTTTTCATGCCAAACAATATGGGCATGCATGCTTGCTGATGCTGGTCTCCCAGTCCATCACAGAGCAGTCTTTGTATTTCTGGAAAAGGAATTTTGGGCTCAAAAGGTATCGATTTATCCTCTCCAAATCACAGCAGGAGAGGAGCCATCGCCTTGTAACCCTGTCAATGCTGAAGCTCGTTGGTCATTCCTGTTATTGTCAGTTTCGTGGAAGGGAAGTGTTACGTTCGGTGCTTATTAAATAAAATTCACCTTGAAAAACGCCTGTGTTCATATGTTTAACAAATAGCTTCAGAACTTGACTGTGTGCCAGGCACTGTTATAAGGACTTAATAGCGGTTCCTTTAATTCTCTTAACAACCCTATAAAATAGATGCCATCTATAGTCTCTTACCACTACTTCCATTTCATAGATGGGAAAACTGAGGCATGAAGAAATGAATTAACCAGGAGCAAGAGAGCGAGAATTCAGACCAGGCAGTTGAGCTCTGGCATCGACTTCTGCACCTTGGCACCTGGGTGCTCTCCCAGGCACCTTCCTACCAGCGAGATCCCATCACAACTCTGCTTCTCTTGGTGCCGATAAGGCACATGCTAAGTACTCCCAGCATATTTTCCTTAAAGGATGGCAACTCCCCGTGGCTGCAAGGCAGGCTTAGAAAATATAGAGGGAGCAAAGATGATTCAGGCAATCTGATTGGCTGACAAAATAAAGACTCACCCCCGGGACTCGGCTCATCACTGGGGCAGCAGTAAAAGGCAGGGTCCTGTTTGCAAACAAGAAGCGGCGGTGGTGACAACAGCTGTCTAAAGGGGTCTGCCCCCCAGCACCCCGTGCCCAGTGTCAGCAGCTGCTGGCAGAGGTCTTCCACGACCTGGACCATGGTCACAGCGACCAGGGGCGGTGACGCCGCTCGTAAACGGGTCTCTCTTCCCAGCAACGGAGTCTGCAGTGCAAGAGAAACAGATCAGAGTCCTGGTTCCAGCTTCGGAATTCATGAAAGTGAGACTTGCCTTTCAGTGTCAGCCAGTTCCATTCTGTCTCCTGGTGGAGGAGCCGGGCTCTCCCAGCGTGGGCAGGGCCTGGGAAAGGGCAGACCCAGAGGTACATCGCACGGCGCACACCCAGCTACTGCAGCCCGCGCGGCACGCACCACAGATGAGGCCTACACACACAGCCCGGGAACCGGCCCTAGATGGTGCCCAAAGCGAAAGATGCAGTGAGCTCAGAATTTATGAATTTACGCAGACAGCTCATGGATGATCGTCAAAAGGCTTAAGTTGAGAAATCTAAACTGGCCAGAGCAGGAGACACAGGTCCAAGTTTTGGATCCTTGTTGGACAGAGGGAAGGAAGGGGACGAGAACTCGGAACAGGGATAGCATCTCAAGCTCACAAACAGGTCGGTGGACGCGGGAGCTCTGTGCCAAGAACCAGTGAGGGCAGGCCCAGGCTGAGACAGGGGACAGCCTTCTCCCTGGAGACTCATCACAGTTCACACTCAAAGCCCGTCGCACATATTTATTTGCTGAGGCTTCTGTGGGCTAAAAAGCTGAGTGATTTATCCAGATGACTCAGCTTTTCAAAGCTGTGAGCTGGAAATTGCTCCCGTGGTCTTTCCATTTGCACATTCGCCAGCTCAGTTCTATAGAAAAACAGTGAGCGCACAAACTTCTTTGGTTCTGCAAGTTGCAATTCCATGCTCAAAGTGCCCCCCACAAAAAAAAAAAAATGTTTTCTGCATTTTGACTAGTGTGAAATTAGAGCCAACCAAATGAATGAAGGGAGGTGTTCTTACTCCGGGCACAGGTTATTACAGCTGTGAAGTAACTAAAGAAACAAGGACGGCAGCAGGATTTCTGTCCCCGAGCTGGGACTCAGCTCAGACCTCACACACGCCCTCCCATGCACATGCTCCCCACATGCACAGAGGCACCAACCCTGGCTCATTTAAGCCAGCAGGGAAGCTCATCTTCAGAGCAGCACCCACCCTTCCATACCTCACTGCTAACCTGTAAAGGATCAGAATATGTTTCTTACTGGAAAAGGAAAAAAAAAAGAAATTAAATAAATAAATCCACAGAAATGTCTCCAATGATTGAAAACAGAAGCTGGCCATTAAGACATTCTCATTGGAAAAAAAAAAAACCCTAATGGAAAGTCAAATGAAATGGAACTCCACCAGTGCTTTTATCAACTGCATGTAGAGACACCACACCCAGCACATTTTATCAAAGGAATGAGAGACACGCTGGACTGTTAATTACCTACAGGCTTCCCTTTTAAATTTATGTCCCTCCTGGGACCACGGCTGAACAAGGAATATGCTGGCGATGCAGAGTGTGCTGGGGAGGAAGGTGGGTGAGCAGGGTCTCAGAAAACAATGGACCTCTCTTTCTTCAACTCTTAAGTTGTGAGCATTCAGCTGAGCCAGAAAACCGTATGCCTACGTGGAGGGGGGCAGGTGTCTGACTGGCAAGGTGACCTTCCAAACATGGAGACAATCTGATAGCATCTGCACTGTACTTGGGTTTTTTTTTTTTTTTTCCATTACTTTGTGACCACTTTTTTAAAGAAATCAAGAAGAAAAAGAAGCCACGAAAATCTAGGTTAGTCTCATGGTAGACACACACAACTTATTTTTTTATTTTATTCGGTCTCTACTGCTTGAATACCAACCTTGATTTCAGAGAACCCTACAAGAAATATTCACAAAGTCATTGATTCATTTATTCATCGTCTCTCTCTCTCTCACCCTATTTCTCTCTCTCTCCCTTAAATACACAGAGCTAAGCAGAATTTAAAACTCAAGACAAAACGGCAGTGGAATTTTGGGGACATTTGTTTTTTGTTGATAATGATATGGGAATATGTCTCACTGTACTTTTGCCAGCAGGAGCTGGCTGTGAATTTGGGGAAGAGTGTGGCTGAAATCTGACAGAAGAGAAGAGTATTTATGCGTGTGAGTGAGTGAGTGTGTGTGTGTGTGCGCGCGCGCGCGTGGAAGCGCGCAAGTGTGTGTGGGGCAGAGCGGAGCAGGGAGAAAGTGAGCATAAGTTTTTCTTGCTCCCTAGAGATCAGTCCTTAGTTTTCACTGAAATAAATTGGAGTCTAGTGGAAGGCACTTAGCCTAAGGGAGACAGGAGCTCTGGTCTGCAAACGCCCTTTCTCCTGATTCTCTTGTCCGTGGCGTTCGTGGCTGGTTTGGAGGGGACATGATGTGAGGTCTCAGAGAATACCTGGTCATAGTGATCGGAAAAAAGTGTGAGATGCATATTTTTATAGAGAATCACAGCATACTTCATTGGGAGGACTGATACTGACACTGAAGCTCCAATACTTTGGACACCTGGTGCGAAGAGCCGACTCCCTGGAAAAGACCCTGATGCTGGGAAAGACTGAAGTCAGGAGAAGGGGCCGACAGAGGATGAGATGGTTGGATGGCATCACCGACTCGATGGACATGAATCTGAGCGAACTCTGGGAGACAGTGAGGACAAGGAAGCCGGGCGTGTTGCAGTCCATGGGGTCGCTGAGAGTCAGACAAGACTGAGTGACTCAACAGCGGCAAGCTTTGTGTTTCTTCCTTAGAGGGATCCACCCAAGCCTCCAAGGGTCTGCGGCTGTGAGAACCTGTCTGCTCACCTCTCCTTTCCAGCAGACCCCCGGACGCGTGCATCCCTCCACTTGTCTGTGACTCCGCTTCCCCGAGGAGGGGGCGGCCATGGGCACTTGCCCCATCCTGGCTGCTGGATCAGACCCGGGAGGCGGGCTTGGGTGGTTGGGTAGGCTGCGGACGGAGTCAGGGAGAGAGCAGCCAGCAGCCCAAGGAACTCTGTGCCAGCAGCGTCCTGCCCCGATGTGAATGAAACATAAATATTGCACAATGAGCCACTAAAAAAACTCTTCCAAACACGATGCTCTCGCATGACGGGTGTCTGAGGGGAGGCAGTAACCTTCTGTCTCATCCCTGCAGAAGTTCAGAGTAGCCCGGGAGCTGAGAAACCAACTTCAGAAACACTGTTTAGATCCACTTAGTGGTTGGGGAAAAAAGAAAAAAACTTTATAAAAATATTTAAGAGCTGCTCTAGCAAGTGGAAACAGCAACTCCTTGTAAACAAACCTAGCATGAAGCTAAGTCTCAGTGGTGGAAAACCTAACTTTATAAAGTCAGATTTCCGATATGCTTTTTTTTTAAGCTCCTCAGAGACTACAAAAGCAACCACACTCTGTCAGTTGATGCAGCAAATAAACAAATGTGCATGAGAGATTTTCCGTCTCCTATGTCAGCAGCATGTGTGTCTGATAAAGCGAGGGGTACAGACTTGGTACCTGCTCACCGCAGAGATCAGCCATAAGAAGAAGCGAGTGTCCGCCGGCCTCCGCGGCTGCTCCCCAGTGGACCCTGGGACAGCGTTAACCGTGACGGGAGCCCTCCAAGGCTCTTTTCCCACGCATCTCTTTCCAGCCACCAGCAAGGTCCTAATGGACGGTGTCGATTCTGAAGCAGGGGGACTTACTCGTCATTGGAAATCCACCCCATCACCCAGCTCACCAGGGTGGTGCCGGGGCGGCAGGTCAGAGCCCACTTAGAACACCATACCCTCCAAACCTAGCGTCCTATCACAAGAGCGAAGTAAGTCAGAAAGAGAAAAACAAATATATATTAAAACGCACACGTGTGCACGCTCGAAACATGGTGCAGATGAACCGATGTGCTGGGCAGGGCTGGAGACGCAGATGTAAGAACAGCCAGGTGCACACGGAGGAGAGAGAGTGGGGTGCACTGGGGGGTCGGCACTGGCCTATACACCCCACGTGTGAACAGTGGCTGGTGGGCAGCTTGCTCCACAGCCCAGAAAGCTCAGCTCGGTGCTCTGCGATGACCAAAGGGGTGGGACGCGGGGGCGGGAGAGAGGCTCACGAGGGCGGGGGAGTCTGTGCACGCATAGCTGGTCCCTGTTGCAGAGCAGAGACTAACACGGCGCTGTCAGTAATTCTGTGCGGGCGTGCTCAGTGGCTCGGGCCGGCCGACTCTGTGGCCCCATGGACTGTAACGCGCCAGACCCCTCTGTCCATGGGGATTCTCCAGGCAAGAATACTGGAGTGGGTTGCCATGCCCTCCTCCAGGAGATCATCCTGACTCAGGGATTGAACCTGGGTCTCCTACATCCCCTGCGTTGGCGGGTGGATTCTTTACCACTGTGCTACCGCGGGAAGCGCCAAGCAATTATACTCCAACTGAAAAAAAGTCAAACTAAACCCTATCCCCGGCTCTCAGTATCAGCCCTGTTTCTCAGCAGAACAGAAACAACTCAGGTTTACTCACTGAATGGGGCTGTAAGCGCCTCACCAAAAATCTCACTGGAAACCTATCATTCAAAATTAACACAGTTTCATTTTTGCTAAAGAACTACTCCATAGGGCAAGTATCCCTCCGCCTCTCACAGCAGGAATCCCTTGCCCTTCTGTCTCAGCTCCATTTCTTTCTCCAGTGGGGAGCTTGGGCAGCTCACTCAGCCAGGCTAGCCTCAGCTTCCCCATCTGTAAAATGGAGCCATTCTCCCCACTGCACAGTGTCCACATAAATAACAGGTGAGACGGGTGCAGAGTCGGGGTGGAAAAGCAGGCCTGCCCGGCCCGCAGGCCCGTGATTCTCTACACAGACGTCTAGGATGGTCCTGAGCGTGGGAGCCGGAGCGGAGGGTGAGACAGACAGCCTCTCTGGTTCTGCCTGAGCGCACCGTGATGCTTCCTGCCCAGTCTGACAGCGGCTCCGTCCAGAGGTCACAAACCAGCGACCCACTGGCCTCATACGGCTCGCTGCCATGTTTGGTCTGGCCCTCGACGCTTTAGGAAAACAAGTCCTGTCTGAACGTCTTTCGGGAGGGCTGGTCCTTTCCAGCTCGGCCACACACAGCGTGCCCTCTCTCTGGAAGCAGTGGTCTTCCGTCCATACCTGCTCGGCTCCTGAAGACGCCTGATTTTTCTACCAGTGATTCAGACCCCCAAGTCAATGGGAAGTTAGCCTCGGGGCCATGCAGGGCGCTGGAAAGGGGTCCATGGAGTCAGACAGACTGAGTTCACACCCAGCCTTGTCGCTGATGATCCGACGGGCTCGGCATCTTCAGCTTCCTTTCCCCTTCTGTCGAAAGCCATGACAAACCCAGGCCGTGTATTAGCAAGCAGAGACATCACTTTGCTGGTGAAGGTCCATCTAGTCAAGGCTATGGTTTTTCCAGTGGTCATGTATGGGTGTGAGAGTGGACTATAAAGAAAGCTGAGTGCCAAAGAACTGATGCTTTCGAACTGTGGTGTTGGAGAAGTCTCTTGAGAGTCCCTTGGACTGCAAGGAGATCCAACCCGTCCATCCCAAAGGAAATCAGTCCTGAATATTCACTGGAAGGACTGATGCTGAAGCTGAAGCTGCAATACTTTGGCCACCTGATGCGAAGACCCTGATGCTGGGAAAGACTGAAGGCAGAAGAAGGGGGTGGCAGAGGATGAGATGGTTGGCTGGCATCACCGACTCGATGGACAAGAATCTGAGCTAACTCATACTGGAGGACAGAGGAGCCTGGCGTGCTGCAGTCCATGGGGTTGCAAAGAGTCAGAGCAACCGAATCAGCAACAACAAAGGTGACATGTGCAGGTCTCAGCCCTGCGTGAGTCTCAGCTCACCCGAGGGCACGGGCAGGTACGAGTCGCTGCTATATTGGCCCGTGTCAGAAACGCATAGGGAACATAGGGCGCGGCTGGTGGGAGCGGCTTTCCTGGGGAGCCAGGGGGCTCTCCGTGGTCGGACCTCTTACACATAGAGGTTGGACCGTGTTCATCCGCGGGCTTCTGGAATCCCAAGAGGCCGGCGCGGCTCCCCGGCAAGTTCAAGGGCACGGAGAGGCGGGCTGAGCTGCCCAGAGTGCAGTGGGCCTCGTGGCTCCGCCCAGCCCCGGGGGGAGCAGGGCGGTTTCCACGCCTGGGGCACCCAGGCCCCCAAGGCAGCTCTGCAGTCGTGCCTCCAGTCCTCTGACCCAATCGGGGCTTTGATTTGCAGGCCTTGAGGGAAGAGCGGCTGGGCTGTTCCCACTGGGTTATTTTAGGAGCAGGCAGGGGAGGGGGTAGCACTGAGCCCTCCGCCCGCACCGCTGGGCCGTGGGGAGCGGCCTCTGCGCCAGCCTGGGGGCACGCTGAGGTCGTTCCTCCCAGGTCTCTGCTCAGACGGCACCCGAAGCTCCGGGCTGGGGTAGACACGGAGGAAGCTCCGGCCCTCATTGCCCCCAGAGATGCCTCTGTCCCCTTGCTTCATCCACTTTCAGCTCAAAGGATCTGATAGGAAATTTCAAAACAACTCGCAGGCTTTGGGGAAGGATAACACAGAAGCCAAATTAAGAGATGAAATGGAGAAATGGCAACTACTGAGATGCTCATTGAGTTTCTCTATGTCTTTCATTTTTTTTTTTTTTTAGCTAGACATTATTGGAAGGAAAGTTATAACCAACCTAGATAGCATATTAAAAAGCAGAGCATTACTTTGCCAACAAAGGTCCATCTAGTCAAAGCTATGGTTTTTCCAGTGGTCATGTATGGATGTGAGAGTTGGAATGTGAAGAAAGCTGAGAGCCAAAGAATTGATGCTTTTGAACTGTGGTGTTGGAGCAGACTCTTGAGAGTCCCTAGGACTGCAAGGAGTTCCAACCAGTCAATCCAAAAGGAGATCAGTCCTGAATATTCATTGGAAGGACTGATGCTGAGGCTGAAACTCCAGTACTTTGGCCACCTGATGTGAAGACCCTGATATTGGGAAAGATTGGGAGCAGGAGAAGAAGGGGGCCACAGAGGATGAGATGGTTGGATGGCATCACCGAATCAGTGGACATGAGTCTGAACAAACTCCAGAAGCTGGCGATGGACAGGGAGGCCTGGCGTGCTGCCGTCCGTGTGGTCACAGAGAGCCGGACATGACTGAGCGACTGGACTGGACTGCCTGAGGCGTCATCAGAGTTTGCTTTCGTTTGGGGGCGCGGGGCCTCTGCTGCTGGGAGGCCTTTCCTCCGGCCGCGGTGAGTGGGGCTTCTCGCTGTGGGGCCTCCTCTCGCTGTGGAGCGCGAGCTCGGCTCTATGGCACAGGGGCTGAGTCCCTCTGAGGCAGGCGCGATCTTCCCGGACCAGGGATCGAACCCCGGTCCTGTGAGGCGGCAGGTGGGTTCTTACTCACTGAGTGAGCAGGGAAACCCCTCTCGATACTTTTTGAACAAGGGGTCCCACATTTTCATTTTGCACTGGGCCCAGCAAGTGATGGAGACAGTCTGCTCCGTCTCCTTTAAAACACTCTTTCTTATCCTTGTTCTTCTCATTTTCGCCCTCCCAAAGAGACATCTCAGACATTTTTTATCCCTTTTCTGTAAAAGAAGTTTAGCCATCTCCACTCACTCTTTCATCTGGATTAGTATTATGACTTCCTTAAAACATGGGCAGAAGCAAGAATGTAAACTAAAGGGTCATGTGAGATAATTCAGCACAGGTTCACTGTGGGGACAGGCAAGCGTCGTGGCCGCAGGGACACGGCAGGCAGCACTTCACTTCAGTCGCGTCCGACTCTTGGCGGCCCCATGGACTGTAGCCCACCAGGTTCCTCTGTCCATGGGATTCTGCAGACAAGAATACTGGAGTGGGGTGCCATTTCCTCCTCTAGGAGATCTTCCTGATCCAGGGATCGAACTGGAGTCACTTATGTGTGCTGCGTTGGAGGATTCTTCACCGTAACCTACCCAGGAATCCCAGCAGGTAGCACAGGTGAGTAAAGAAAACAGACGGAGGTAGACAACAGGATAACAGACGCTCAGGTGGGCGTGTCCTGACTGCAAGGGGCCGGGAACCATCCACTCGTGCCGGCTCTTCTCAGACGGGAGGCTGGCTCCAGTGCTACAGGTATTTTTTTTTTTCCCCAAAGAAACCAAAAAGCTGGATTCTTATGTCCTCTTATGCCAGCGTGCAGATGTGGACAGCTGACCCTGCCGGGAGCCATCACAATCCCTGCCTGTGAGCAGAACCTGTGACCCATTCCTACCCAACAGAGTATGACAAAGGGGATGTGGTTTTCCAGCTGTAATTAAAGCCCCAAAGCAGCTGATTCTGAGCTGGTGGAACAGCGAATGAGGGTGGGTGGGCTGGACTGAGCAGAGTGAAAAGCCTTGGCACACAGGCTGGCCTCTCTCTGAGCTGAGACTCTCTCTGCGGGCCGAGCAGAACCAGCAGCCAGGCTGGCGGAGCCCATGGAACCAGCAGCTCGGGCGCCTGGGTCCCAGGTCACACGGGTGTGAGGAGAGGAGCGCCACCAGTGACCTGATGACCTTGGAAATGGCTCCTTCCCATGGAAGCCTGCGGCCCGATTGGACCTCGGCAGAG